CTCTGACCCCTGTCTTCTAAGGCATGCTGAAGGTGGGTTCTGGTAAAGTGGAGGGCGGGGGAAAGCTGATTCTGAGGATCACAGTTCTCAGTGGGGTGAGTCAAATTTACAGCTAGTATGGAGGGAAAAATCCACCATCAGTGAAAAGCGTGTCAAGGAGTGGCCAGAGCTCACGCCTGTTCTTTGTGCTGCCTAGAAAGTAGTCATGGGTGTTGCCTGGGAAAGGGGTTTGGGCCGTGGTGCCAGGCACCCACTTGCTTTCTGAAATGGGTACCCGCCTCTTCCTGCATGCTCTTTCAAGGTAAGGGATGATGCCCACTGCACTCTGTTCAAGTGATTTCGAAGCACCGGAAAGCTCATTAAGTTATCCAGAGCACTTTGCTTTTCATCTGAATATCTCTCCCTGTAAAGAATTTTTAATTTATGGAAATAGGTTTTGCCTTCTTGAACAGGTAAAGTAAGAGGAGCCTTGATAACCCTTGAATTCAAGCACTGTTAAGGCCACATCTTTTTTTTTTTTTTTTTTCTTTTTTTTTTTTGGTAGCCAGCTGGTATGGGGATCCGAACCCAACCCCTGACCTTAGTGTTACCAACACCACACTCTAACCAAGTAAGCTAACTGGTCAGTCCTAAGCCACATCATTTTTAAGCAACCCACTTTAATTTTCTTTTTTAGGGAGGATGAGCCTGATGTGGACAGAATTCAAATGAGCTGGACAGTGCTGTGAAGGAGCTACAAGCATCCCCCAGAGCCCGGAGATGGTAGGCAGAGTGCAGAGGGAGATGTATGTAGATGTGAACCCAACCCCCGGAGATCCTGACTGCATGGAACACTTTGGGGGCTGGATGGCAAGGACCAGGATGTGGTCCCTGGAGAAGAGTGATGGGAAGTAGCACTGATATCAAACTTAAGCAATGAGGAACGTTTCTTCTGAACTCCTGAACATCCACCCAGAAACTGGTATTGAGGAGTCAGGAACATGAAATGGAAGAAAACATGTCCAGCCGTTACATCCTGGCTGGGAGGGTTTGTGTGTGGCACCTGGAAATCAGGGAAAAGGAGAGACTTCTGCCCACCCATTGGCACCCACTGCTGGTTAGTGGGGGCTCTTTCCATGTGCTAAGTAAGTCCATTCTCAGAAACTCTAGGAAAGCATAAAGGACATCTGTCTCTAAATGTCATTGGTGCTCCTTCCTCTGGTGACTTGGCAAAGGCAAAATAATTCTTTCTGCATTTCAGGTTTCAGCACACATTTACTGTTTGATTTTGTTAATGTGATTTGTTTTTCCCATCTTAGGCACCAAAAACCAAGAAGGGATTGAAAGGTGGGTAGAGAGATGGAACATCACCCTTAGGCCAAATATATATATATATTTTTTTTCCCTTGGGTCCAAAAGTAATTTAGACATGTCTGTGTTTAAATGTTCTTGGTGAGGGCCGGCCCGTGGCTCACTTGGGAGAGCGTGGTGCTGACAACACCAAGTCAAGGGTTNCTTTTTTTTCCCTTGGGTCCAAAAATAATTTAGACATGTCTGTGTTTAAATGTTCTTGGTGAAGGCCGGCCCGTGGCTCACTTGGGAGAGCGTGGTGCTGACAACACCAAGTCAAGGGTTAAGATCCCATTACCAGTCATCTTTAAAAAAAAAAAAAACATAATAAATGTTCTTGGTGAGAGTGTTGCTGTTTTTCCCATAATTTCATAGGCAGCCCTGGTCTTCCTAGAGGATTCCTTATGCTCCCTCAGTGGCCCACAGAGAAACTCAGAAATAAATAAGAGATGGGGGGTTTTGGAAACAATCCTTCTCATTGTATCCAGATGCATACAGTTGTGGTTAAGGGTAGTAAAGTCACTTGAGCTGAACGGGAGGACTAATTCAGTACTCATTCTTAGGTTTACCCCACATGCCTCCATCAGAAAGTGGCCCAGGAGCAGGGAGGGGGTGGGGGGAAGGAGAAGTGGTGCAAAACTATGCCGTCTACCCTAAAGTGAGTCATTGTGCAGTATATGCATGAATTGAAACAACACACTGTACCCCACAAATATGTACAAGTAAATGTTAAAATAAGCTAAAAAATGACTGAAAGAAAGAAAATGGCCAAGGAGAGGTACATCCAGATCAGTTCTGGTGGATCTCAGATGGAAGGGCCACAGGGAGGCCACTGATATGAAAGAAGCTTGCATGTGCCTAGAAATCTTGGATACTTTTCTCAAAGAATCACACTGGACTTTGATCAGAGACTGGAAGACTGACTGTTGGCTGGTGCGTCATGGGGGAGGCGGGTAGAAGGCAGGTTCTACTGAAGATATGTACCACCATCTTTTGAGAAAGTTATTTTAAATTTCTACCTGGGGTTTTGCAACAAGGCATTGTGACTTGTTGCCAGAGAGTCAGAAAACACCTTGTGGCCAGTGAAGGGAGTGTTAAACCTAAGTCCCACCATCTGAGAGCTCAGAGGCCCTGGGGTGAGTCTTCAGGCCTGAGATCTGTAAGGGCCACTCTGCTTTCCTCCTGAAGCCATGACGGCCCCTTTTCTGTTCCAGGCTCCATTGATGATGTCCTTGGTGACCTCCTGGAAGATGATAGTAAGTGCCCCTTCCCCAGAATCTCCTGGTTTAGGCTTGCTCTTTCTCTCTTTTTTTTTTTTAATTGAGATATAACTCACATACCATAAAATTCATTCATTTAAAGTATACAATACCATGGCTTTTAGAATATTCACAGAGTTGTACAAACCATCACCACTACCTAATTCCAGAACGTTTTCATCACTCCAGGAAGAAACGCCGTACCCATCAGTAGTCAGTCCTCAGTCACCCCTCTCCCCCCAACCTTAGGCAACTGCTTATTTGCTCTCTGGCTCTATGGATCTGCCTATTCTGGACATTTTGTAGAAAGTCATACAGTATCTGGCCTTTGCACCTGGCTTCTTTCACTTAGCATAATGTTTTTAAAGTTACAAGCTACACACTATAGCACGTATCGGTACCTCATTCCTTTTTATGGATAGTATTCCATTGTGTGGATCTATACCACATTTTGTCCATTCCTCAGCTGATGAACATTTGAGTTATTTGCACGTTCTGGCTATTATGAATAATGCTGTTATGAACATTCGTGTGTAAGTTTTTGTGTGGACATGCATTTTCAGTTCTTTTGAATTTAAACCTAGGAGTGGAATTGCTGGACTGTACGATAACTCTATGTTTAACTTTTTGAGGAACCTCTAAACTGTTTTCCACAGCAACTGTATCTACATTCCCACCAGCAGTGGAAGAGGGTTCCAGTTTTGCCACATCCTTGCCAATGCTTATTTTCTATCTTCTTGATTATAGCCGTCCTAGTGGGTATAAAGTGGGTATGTCATTGTGGATATCATGTGCATTGCCCTAATGACTGGTGATACAGAGCGTATTTTCATGTGTTTATTGGCCATTTGTATATCTTCTCTGGAGAAGTGTCTATTTATATCCTTTTAGGGCCAGCCCGTGACTCACTTGGGAGAGCGAGGTGCTGACAACACCAAGTCAAGGGTTAAGATCCCCTTACCGGTCATCTTTTAAATAAATAAATTAATTAATTAATTGATTGATTAATTAAATCCTTTGCCTATTTTTAATTGAGTTATTTGTCTTTTGTTTGTTTTGTTTTTGGTGNTGTTTATTGGCCATTTGTATATCTTCTCTGGAGAAGTGTCTATTTATATCCTTTTAGGGCCAGCCCGTGACTCACTTGGGAGAGCGAGGTGCTGACAACACCAAGTCAAGGGTTAAGATCCCCTTACCGGTCATCTTTTAAATAAATAAATAAATTAATTAATTAATTGATTAATTAAATCCTTTGCCTATTTTTAATTGAGTTATTTGTCTTTTGTTTGTTTTGTTTTTGGTGGCTGGCCGATAGGGAGATCCGAACCCGTGACCTTGATGTTATAAGGCTGTGCTCTAACCAGCTGAGCTAACCGGCCAGCCTTATGTATCTTTGTATTGTTGAGTTTTAAGAGTTCCTTATATATTCTGGATACTACTCCCTTGTCTTTCTTTTGTGCCCATGTTGCTGTACCGACAAGCAGGGCTGCAGGGTCATGCAGAATTCACCAGGGACTGCGATCCTTAGATTTCCCCCATGTGGCCCCAGAGAACCCACAGAGCACAAGCCCCCGTATTCTGACTTGCAGTTTGGGGCTGTGGAAGCGCCAGTGTTCCTCCTGCATTTCCACGGGGTGGGGTTAGGTTGGGTTCGGCTGTTCATTTGGCATTTAGGGTTGACTTCCTCCTTGGAAATGTACCACCCCTCCCCGGTTCAGGTTCTTCAAGGGATAATGTTGGGACCTGCCTCTGGGGCCAGTTTTCTTCCTCCAAACACACCTTTCTTTAGTAGGAAGCTCTGGGAGACGGCTTGGTGACCGAACTGTCCTTCCTTGTCATCTTGACTCCAGTTCTCTTTACCCAAATGACATCTTTTCTGTTTTCTTTTTTCCAGTGACACTACCTGAGAAGCCTGTTAAACTAGCTTCACATGCCAGAGACACCCCAGGTGGATCTCAGGTGCTCCCTTCTTCAAGAGCTAGAACAAAGTAAGTGTAGAATTGGCGTGGGTATGTGTGACCCATTTCAGTTCCAATGCTCTTTGCCCCTGCACCTGCCTTGGTGTGTATGCAGATTTTTTTTTTTTTTGTCCTTCTTGTGACCGGTAAGGGGATCGCAACCCTTGGCTTGGCGTCGCCCGCACCATGCTCAGCCAGTGAGCACACCGGCCATCCCTATACAGGATCCGAACCCGTGGCGGGAGCGCCCCTGCGCTCCCAGCGCCGCACTCTCCCGAGTGCGCCACAGGGTCGGCCCTGCAGTTTGTTTTTTTTAAAAGATGACCGGTAAGGGGATCATAACCCTTGACTTGGTGTTGTCAGCACCACGCTCTCTGAAGTGAGCCATGGGCCAGCCCTAGTGTGCGCAGTTTTAATATTGTAATTTCCAGCCCCTTCCCTCAGCTCCCAGTTATTGAAAGAACCTGGGGGAGTGGAAAGAGAGCTGAACTAGAGGTCAGAAGTCCTGGCTTCTACTCCTACCTCTGTTACTTACTGTGTGACCTTGAGCAATTCCTGAACCTCTCTGAGCCCCTCAATTTCCTTGCCTCAAAATAAGAGAATTGGCCCAGATCAGTGATTTTCAAATTGTGTTTGTTCTTCTGAGGTTCTCTTGATGATGAGCGACAAGGGAGTTTTATAGCTTTCATCTTAGCTTGAGCAGTTCTGTTTTGCTCTCTTACCTATTGTTTTTAACGATTTGTTTTTAAAGGGGCTCTACTGCTTTAAAAAAGTTGAAAATCACTATATTAGGTGGCCTGTGAAATTTCTTTTAGCAACTCCGTTCTCCCAAAGAAATCTATCCAAGTTCACCTGGACTTTCTAACCCACGCTCCTTTTTAGCATTATCTCATACCCTGGGGGTGCAAGTAGGTGCTGATTCCACCCCTTTGCAGGTCCCTCCTGAAAGACGATTTCTTCAGCACTATGGCAGGCCTGGCCGGAGCTGATGCCGAGGTGAGCCTGGCCCATTCCCCAATCCTCAGCCTCTCTACTTATTCCCAGACATAGTGAGATGGGTGTTGTGGCCCAGGGGCTATTCATGAAAGGGCTTAGAAGTCCCTGCAAGGTCAGTTTGTTCTTAAAGCAAAATGNCTTCCCTCAGCTCCCAGTTATTGAAAGAACCTGGGGGAGTGGAAAGAGAGCTGAACTAGAGGTCAGAAGTCCTGGCTTCTACTCCTACCTCTGTTACTTACTGTGTGACCTTGGGCAATTCCTGAACCTCTCTGAGCCCCTCAATTTCCTTGCCTCAAAATAAGAGGATTGCGGGCCGGCCTGTGGCTCACTCGGGAGAGTGCGGTGCTGATAACACCAAGGCCCCGGGTTCGGATCCCATATAGGGATGGCCGGTTAGCTCACTGGCTGAGCGTGGTGCTGACAACACCAAGCCAAGGGTTAAGATCCCCTTACCGGTCATCTTTTAAAAAAAAAGAGGATTGGCCCAGATCAATGATTTTCAAATTGTGTTTGTTCTTCTGAGGTTCTCTTGATGATGAGCGACAAGGGAGGAGTTTTATAGCTTTCATCTTAGCTTGAGCAGTTCTGTTTTGCTTTCTTACCTATTGTTTTTTTTTTGTTTGTTTGTTTGTTTGTTTTTTGTCTTTTTCGTGACTGGGGCTCAGCCAGTGAGCGCACCAGCCATTCCCATATAGGATCCGAACCCGCGGTAGGAGCGGCGCTGCGCTCCCAGCGCTGCACTCTCCCGAGTGCGCCACGGGGCTGGCCCTTACCTATTGTTTTTAACAATTTGTTTTTAAAGGGGCTCTACTGCTTTAAAAAAGTTGAAAATCACTATATTAGGTGGCCCGTGAAATTTCTTTTAGCAACTCCGTTCTCCCAAAGAAATCTATCCAAGTTCACCTGGACTCTCTAACCCACGCTCCTTTTTTTTTTTTTTTTTTTTCCTAAAAAGATGACCGGTAAGGGGATCTCAACCCTTGGCTTGGTGTTGTCAGTACCACGCTCAGCCAGTGAGCGAACCAGCCATCCCTATATGGGATCCGAACCCATGGCCTTGGTGTTGTCAGCACCACACTCTCCCGAGTGAGCCACAGGCCGGCCCCTCCACGCTCCTTTTTAGCATCATCTAATACCCTGGGGGTGAGAGTAGGTGCTGATTCCACCCCTTTGCAGGTCCCTCCTGAAAGACGATTTCTTCAGCACTATGGCAGGCCTGGCCGGAGCTGATGCCGAGGTGAGCTTGGCCCATTCCCCAATCCTCAGCCTCTCTACTTATTCCCAGACATAGTGAGATGGGTGTTGTGGCCCAAGGGCTATTCATGAAAGGGCTTAGAAGTCCCTGCAAGGTCAGTTTGTTCTTAAAGCAAAATGACCCCCAAAGGCTGCCTTGTGGACCCAAAGCAACATCCTTCTTCCCACCAGTAAGATGAGCTAGGAAGGAGAGTTCCTGGCAGCTTCAGAGTCTGGAAAGTTGCCCCCTTTCCATAACGATCTCCTTAACTGCCTAAGCCGCATGGATGGGAAGTAGCAGAATGTGGGTCCTGGGGTGGAAGTCGTCCCTCCAGTTGGGAGGAAGGGGGTGGCAGCACTTTCTGGGTCTCCACAACCAGACTTCAAACAACAGCCAACCCCCGAGGGAGGGGGCAAAGGGACCCTCTGCTCCTGCTGGGCCGTCTGCCCTAACAGAAGCAAGGTGACAGGGCTGGAGGCCTGAGCTGCGTTGGGTTTGACTCCCGTGCATGCTCACGTGTGTCCTCACCGTCCTGTGGACTTAGGCTTCGGATGTCTCGGATGCAGACCCCCAGGCTTTGCTCCAGGCTATGAAGGTACTGGGACAACTTGCACAGTTCTCAGAGCTGGGGGTGGGGTGAGGAGTGATGGTGTTTTGTGCCAAGGCTTTATTCTCCCTCTAATTTCTCCCTTTACCTTTCCTAGTACGAGAATGAAGCTCATCCATGGGCTGTCGCCCTTCTTGCCCCTCTGGGTATAAACTCGTTTTTCTGGTGTGTAGAGACTGGGAAGTCTATAGCACAGGCCTCTGGGGAAATGGGGCCGGGGGGGAGACTGTCTCCTCTAACGTTTGTTCTTAACTTTTCTCCGTGTTTCTCTCCACATCCCCTGCCAAGTCCCTTTCTGTAAAGCTTTCTTCTCATCAGATCAAGGCCAAAACTAATCTTTGCAGTGGAACTGTAAGACATAGATTCTGAACAATTGATACCGCCAAGGTCAACGGTTCAGATCCCTGTACCAGCCAGCCTCAAAAAAAGAAAAAAAAAGTTCTGAACAGTTTATAAGAACCTAATCTCACAGTGCTCAGGTAGCTTGGCCGGGGCCGCCTCTGTTCTCCCTCACCTCGGACCCTTGCCCTCCTGACCCTTCTGGTTAATCCATTTTGCTGTGGTCCCTGGGCCAAGGCCCTGCTCTCGGTTCTAGCCCTGTGGGGCTATAAAGGATTGGTGTCTGTTCCCTTCCTGGCTTCAGATTCAGCTTCTTTAACCTCAGCTGGAAATCTTTCTCCCCGGGGCCAGCTGGCTTGGAACCCCTGGGCATGACCCGAAAGTCCTCTGACTCAATTTTTGGTGTTGGCTTTGAGTCTCTCATTCCAGAACCATGAGCTGAACCCCCACCCCACTCTGCTTAACTTCGGTTCAGTTTTCTTTCTTTTTTTTTTTTTAAAAAAGATGACTGGTAAGGGGATCTTAACCCTTGACTCGGTGTTGTCAGCACCAAGCTCTCCCAGTGAACCAACCGGCCATCCCTATGTGGGATCCGAACCCGGGGCCTTGGTGTTATCAGCACCGCACTCTCCCGAGTGAGCCACAGGCCGGCCCTCAGTTTTCTTTCTTAACTCACCTTTTTTCTCAGCAGTTTTCTCATCTTCCTTTGTTTTCTCACCATGCTGCCCCTGGGCTGCCAACTGCCCTCCATAGATGGAAGTCAGCCCTTGTCACACGTCAGCCTCCATCCTTCCTGTTTTCTAGGATCTGGGTGATGTGGATGCCGACCTCTTAGGTCTGAGGACGCCTAATCTGGCCTCTAGCAAAAGAGCTGCAAAGGGCTCTGGGAAAGAAGAGCTGCCCAGTAATCCCAAACCTGCTGGCAATTTAGAAGCCATTGAGAAAGGTGAATGGGAGACAGCTCCTCGAATCTACTAGGGAGACTGTGGGGCCATGGGAGATGCTTAGAAGGAAGCTTTCATGTCCTACGGGCCCTGTCTTCTGTGTCTGGAGTGGAGCAGCCAAGGATGTGTGTGTGAGTGTGTGTGAGTGTGAGTGTTCGTGCTGGGGAGGGGGACAGGTTGAATCTCCTCCCTTCCTAGGGCTGTTCCAGCCTCCCTAAGTCCAACATGGGCAGCTCCTGGAGAAGCCATTTGAGTTTAAATGGAAAATTTTATGGTAGCCTATGCATCTTCCAAACCTATATTTCTGTTCAGAGTGACTCATGACAAGGGGGCAGGAGGTGGCTTCCCACCATGTTTCCAGAAGCCCATGTGAGAACTGGGGAGGGGAGGTATAGACCCCTCCCCTGGCTGTGTGCGTGGCTGTGAGCCCTCAGCTTCCCAGGATGAAGTGCACCCCATCCCAGGGGCCCCAGTCCATGGTGTGGGAGGAGGACCTTGGCCAGGAGAGACCCAGGCCCACCTTGCTTTCTTTTTGCTTCCCACAGCGGGCACCATTCCCACCAAGAAGCCACCTCCCTCTTCTAGCAGCTTTGGGCATCCGTATAAGCAGTTTTCTTTTGAAGGTACCACAGGCCCCCCAGTCATACTTGTGGGATACTCCAGAGGGAGAGTGGAGTAGGCAGGGTAGTGCTTGCTTGCCTGAGGCTGCGTCACTGTGTGTGTTGTGGGAGGAGCAGAGACCTAGGGCCCCGTATTTAGTTCTCGTGAATTCAGGGAGGGACTAGTTATGTTGTATGGCTGGGATATTTGCGGAACTTATTTGCAAGGACTTTGAAGCCAGACATCAAACTGAAGATTTTGTAGGGTATAGAAAAAAGTCCCTTTCCCTTCGTGAACACATGAATGTTTTACCTGTCTTCTGATGCCTTAGGGACCTTTCCAGAAGGCCATGCAGCCAGCAGGGTCAGAAGCCTCACGGGTGAGCCCAGGGCCAGGCTCCCAGCTCCCTCTCCCCCTGCAGAGCCTCATCTCTGTGTCGAAGCCCCCCTCACCATAGGCCCCGCCCTCCCTCCAGATGCTGAGGGGCTGGTTTGTGTTAGAGCAGAGCAGTAACTCCCCCAGCTTCAGGCTGGTTTTTTCTGAACCAAGTGCTGCAGTCTGACCTGTGCTTTCCCATCTGGCTGCGAGATTTGGAAGACCCATTGGCAGGACTCCTCTCCGATGATGAGGAAAGAATTGCTGAGAAGCCGCCTGTGACAGGGAGTGAGATGGCTTCCAACAAGAGCCCCGGCCCAGCCAGAGAGCCAGGTAGGGCGAAGTGGGCTTGTTTCTCGTCCTGGGGCAGAGTCTGTTGGCAACAGGCTAACTGCACTTTCTGGTGCAGACCAGAGACCTCACCAGGGCAGGGACCACAGGTCCAGGACCAAGAGATGATCATTCTCTAGGAATAGGAAGGTGGGATGCATGAGCCTGGGAGTGGGGTGGGGGTAAGATCCGTGGACAGACCAGACCGGTGCAATGCCTACAGTCACCCCACCCAAAGACCAGGATTGCAGAGACAACCCCCCCACCCACCCACCCATTCAAATATCCCAGTTGAGGACAAGAAAGCTGTGGACATTGAACACATGTTCTGTCTCTTAGGTCCCTCTATTCCTCTAACTCCTGGGGACACCCCCGTTCGAAAGAAAGAAGAATTGCTGTTTGACAATGGGGACGACATCATGGCCACCCTGGAGTTTGGAGACAGCCCCAAAGCAGAGAGGAGACAGACAAGAGACCAGTAAGGATCCTTATGAGCGAGAGTCCCTGGCCAGGCTGCTGCGTCAGGTCCAGGGTAAAGCTAGAGAGTGGTACAGTGTGGGCCCAGAGCCCCACGTATTCACACATCCCGGCGCTGTCTGTCCTGCAGGGAAGGGCCCCGTCCTGCTCGCTCCAAGCTGGATGAACTGCTGGGTCGAGGCACTGCCACCAAACTCCTGGCTCGCCCAGGCACTGGGGAGCACAGGGAGTTCAAGCTAGACAAGAAGTATCAGAGGCCACAGGGTGAGGACATTTGAGGTGGACGGGAGGGGACGGGAGGGTATGGCAGGGGGGATTCCACACCAGGTCTTTACCACAATCCGTTAATAAGAAATAAGCTGCACATCACGATACACACACATTATCATACATGTTTATAACTGAGACAAAAGCATCATGAAATAATACTTAACCATTACCATCGTCAGTGCTCTGCTGTTTTTTATTCAGATAATGTTTGATTTATAAATACACTGGTCGTAACTCATTAACATGGGTTCTCAGCCTTCTGATAAGCAGCAGCAGCTCATGGTTTGAAAAACTCTGCTCTGGCCCAGTGTTTCTCAAAGCACCGGCCCATAGCCACCTCTGGAGTCGTATGTGCGACACAGGCCACTGCTGGGCCGGCCCTCGGGGAGCTCAGGCAGGGCCAGCACTGGCTGCTTCCTCCAGAGCACTCCGCGTCCCTTGTCCCGCACGTGGTGCTGCTGGCGCAGTTGTTTCAGACAGAGTTCCGCAGCCGTAAAAGAGTTTATGGCTTTCCCTGTTCTAGCTCGTGGTCACAGGCTCTTTAATTCACAGACAAAGAAGATAACTGGAGCGACGAGGACCTGACCTTTGGGGCCTATCAGCCCACCGTGGGCTCCTGCGAGGGCCGGCAGTCCCGCCGCCAGTCGGTCAGGTAAGCGTGGCCTCTGTGGCAGGGTGACTGCTGAGCAAACAGGCCCCTGCAGACAGCCTCGTGTGAGAAGGCAGGGGGCACAGGCGCTAGGCTCAGGGTGCTAAAGGAAGAGGGAGGTCATCCGGGCAGAGGGGTGTACACGGCCCCAGCAGGAGCCCCAGCCCGATCCCAGTTCCTGTCTGGCCTGCCCGAGCCCCACCCGGTCTCCGCAGAAACAAAAGAAAGGGCTGGCCAGTTAGCACAGTTGGTTGGAGCGAAGTGTTACAACACCAAGGTCCAGGGTTCCAATCCCAATACCAGCCAGGTGCCGTAAAACAAATAAAAATAAAGAAGGAAAAGGAAAAGGTGGGCCTGCCTCTGCCTGATGCCCCTGAAAGCCGTGAAAGGCTGTGGCGTCGCTCGGTCTCCCTGAGGGATGCAAGACCACTAGCCTTCTGCAGAGGCTTCTCAAACCCACTTCCGGGGACACCGCTGTTGGACCTGCCCGACAGTCCTGACAGCGAGGTCTGCTCAGTTTGCAACAAAAAATTAAACCACCCAATGGTAGAATTTTCTGAATTTGGAGTTTTTCTCCCAGTATATATTTTAAACTTTCCATTTTGTTTGTTCATTTGTTTTGGTGAGTGGCCGGTACAGGGATCGAACTGTGGACCTTGGTGTTATCAAGATCACGTTCTACCCAACTAAGCTAACCAGCCAGCCCTAAACTTTGTATTTCAAAATAATTTCAAACTTGCAGAAAAGTCGTGGGAATAGTACAAAAGCTCCCTCCCCTTCACCCAGACTCAGCAGTTGTTAACATCATGCCACGCTGGCTTCATCAGAGTCTCTTTCTATCTAACCAGCTCCACGTACACACTGACATTTCTTCCCAATCCCAGTATGTTCTTTAACCTGGGACCTGCTGCCACTGGTCAGTAACATGTCAGCAATGGCTGAACAAAGAAATAAGTAACAAAATGGCCATTGACAGAAAATCTGAAAACCACCTGATCCAGCTGACTTTTCTCTGGACGTGTGTGCACATGGTTGTAATTCGGTTCTGTTCTTTGGATTGACTTGCCCCTGGGTCATGTGATGCAAGTCGAGGTGTCCATATTTCATGGTCTTCTACAAGCAGCACGTGGCTTGCCACTGCTCCGTTGCCTGAGCTGGTCCAGGGGCCACTGCTCGTTGGGCCTTCGTCTGCTGTGCAGGGTCCCTGGACATCATGGACTCCTTGCTGGGACCTTATAGTTCCCCAGCAGTGGAGGGAAAGGCTGGTAAGGGGGGAAAGCCCATGGGGACGGGCTGCTTTCCCTACCTGACGCCCTCCTCTCTGTCTTGAAGTAGGTTCTTAGCAGAAGGTGGCCCAGACTCCAAGAGAGAACCGGGATCCACACAGAGCCCTCTAGCGGCTTCCAGTCCCATCCACCCCAGGAAGGGAGGAGCTGACTGGCTGGGCCTGAAGGATGATGACTTGGACCTGCTCCCTTCGTCTCCCACCAGAGAGGCCCACCAGGGCGGCTCAGTGCTTACCACACCCTCCATGCCCCCTCCTGCGAGCCAGCACCCTGCCCCGGCCTCCTCAGGGGCACAGCCACCAACCGAGGGTTCAGGGTCCCCTGCCAAAGCCAGCCAGGCTTCCAAGCTGGGAACATCCGAGGAGAAAGAAGAGGAGGACTGGCTGAGCCTTGTCTTGTCCCGGAAGAAGTCCCAAGCTCCGGCCAGAGAGGAGCGTGCTGGGGCCTCTGCCGGCCTGATCTCAGCGAAGGCAGTAGACCCTCTCCCTCCTGGCAGGTGTGGGTTTGGGCAGCTGTGTCTGGTGGGGGGAGGACCGGGTGGGGGCCTGGGAGGCCAACCTTGCCCTTCTCACCTGCCACAGCCTCACTGGCGTGGGCACGGGCACCCCCTCTCGGCTTTGCTTCTCTTCCTCTTGTGCACTGCAGAGAGCGCTTCTGGCTGCTGGCTTGGCCCAGGTGCAGACACAAGGGACTGGGGAGCTGTTGACACTCATGCCCCGACAGCTGTAGGGACAGGTGCTGACTCAATCAGACACACCATCGTCCCACTGCCTCTGGGCAGGGGCCCTGCCTGCAGCACCCCAGGCTGGCGAAGACCCAGCACTCCAATTGCTGGTGCTTCTCCTGACCCGAGTAGATTTATTTAAGTAAATAAAGTATGTGTGAGCTGAGATGGCCCCATGCTCTTTGGGAGTGTCAGAGAAGAGACAGTGGCCCAGAGGCAGCTCCCAGGGGAAGCCCCAGAATGGCGACCAGTGGGACAGGGAAGTGAATGGCCTCTGAGGGCAGGAGGGCAGAAGGGAGCTGGCAAGGCCAGAGAATCCAGAGGAAGTGGTAGGATGCTCTGCAGCCAGCACCAGGTGGAGGTGACTTGGTCAGTTTGTGACAGCCCTGGGACATCACCAAATCCTGTAGTTGGTGTGATGTGACGAGGCAGCTTTGACTTTGACCTGAAGCCAAGGGGAAGAAACAGAAGAGCCCCTGCTTCCTCTCTGACCCCAAGAGCCGAGAAGGGTGATGGAAATAGACGAGAACCCAAAGAGCGGCCAGACCTGGGAGGACACTGAGCAGAGCCTTGATCTGAAGCTGACCCAAGCAAGTGGCCAAAACGAGGCTCTGAACTTGAACTTAACTCTGCCGTGTATGGCGTGTCTGTTGTCACTCCCTGGGCAGGGTCCATTCACTGCACCATAGTGGACACTGAGGTGGGGAAGGGGTACGGGAAGGGAAGGGAAGCCCACAGTCCCAGGCGCTCAGACTTGGGAGGAGAATTCGTCAAGACAGGATGGTGGGAACAGGAGGAGGGGCGAGGGAAAGCAAGAAGAGGGACGGCCATGCGCTTCCCAGTTGGAGCTTGTCCTGGGCCCCATCTTCTTCCAGCCTAGCTCGGGCCTTCTGTCACCTCCATCTTTATCACTGACTTTCCTCAGCCAGCCTGTTGCCAGCGCTCAAGAGCGTGAGCGAGCAGCTGCTGGAAGGACCTCAGGAACAACAGCACAAGAAATACCGCCTGCCGGACCTGACGTCTCAGGGTAGGTCCACAGCCGGGGCAGAGGGGTGGTGAGGGGCGCTGGGGGCTGGCACAGGCCTCCTTCCTGAGAGATAGACAACAGACAGCTGATGGGGTCCTGGCATGCTTAGTGTGGTCTGTCATATTCGATACCTGTGTCAGGCCCACTGATTAAAGAGCTTTCTGAAGCTGGGTCCCCATCTCCTTTACCAGCCACCAGCACAACTGAGACCACACAGTGAATTACCAACCTCTGAGCCTGAAGTTTTCCTTTACTCCGGTGCCAACCCTCCCCTTCTCTCTATGCCCTACGTAGAAAGCAGTTTACTTAGATCCTGCCTCCCATCCCTGTGTCCTCAGGTCCCCTGTGACTTGGAATCAGGCTGCCTTGGCCCTCCCTACAGGTGACTCAAAGAGGGGAACAGCCCCTGGAGACCTCTCCAGCACTGGTTTGTTTTTTGCTTTGTTTGGGGGTTTAACCCTGGGTGAAGAAGAGGTACTTTCAGCCTCTTTTGGGGGCCCCTGGAAGATGAGCAATGCTGGGCTCTCCTGGACACACTCACAGGCCCACAGCCTCCTCCTCATTTCTCTGCTGTTGACTTTTCAGAGCCTGTGATTTGTTCCCCGAGCTCCCAGGAACCCACAGGGCTTTCTGTGCCTGTCCAGGTAGGGAGGGTAGACTACCAGGTGCACGTCTCGGGTGCAGGGAACAATTCTCCTGTGCTCAGAGGCAACACCAGCAGTTTGACCAGACAACCTGCTGGGAAGAATGAATGAGTCAAACATGTCAGACATGGCTGGCTGGCTGGCTCACTTGGTTAGAGCACAGCCCTGTAACACCAAGGTCAAGGGTTCGGATCCCCATACCAGCCAGCTGCCAAAAAAGTAAAATAAAACATGTCAGATGTGACATCAGCCAGCTCATCCTGGTACCCTGCCAGCAACTTCCTGAACTGCAAGCCTCACAACTCCCAGGTGGAGTTGGCTGTTAATTTGCCAGCGTCAACAGGGAAATCAAGGCAGGGGCAGCCGGGAACGCTCTAGTCAGGAAGTCCTGTTGTTTCATCTAGAACGCCTCCTCCATTCCTGCCATCCTCCCACTGCACCTCCATCTCTGTCTCCCAGGTGTGGCAGTCACCTCTGACCCCTAGGCCAGAAGCATGGCCCCCAGGAGCGTGTACCTGGGAGACCATAGGTGGAGAGCAGCTGCAGGAGCCAGATTAGTGTCAACATGTGGGCTGCAGGCCTGACAGAAAGGGCCAGGGTCATGAGCTTTCATCAGAGCTGAGACCCCACTAGGGCTCTGCTATTTGTCTTGGAGGCTGGAGACCCTGCTGGGAAGGAGGCTGTCCGGAGGGAGGGAGGGAGGGAGACTCATTTTCCTGACCACACCTGAGAAGGGAGGTGCGATGTTGACTGCAGTGACTGATTCCATGGTGTGATGGCCTTGTTTGCTGTCTGCAGCCACAAATCAGGTGCAGGGCCCGGGAGGTCCAGTGAGCAGAGGGCCAGGAGGACTGAGCACAGCTGGGTCCCTGTCCCCTCCCTAAGCTGGGACATCTCTTGTCCTCTCCTACAGTCCCTGCTACCAGAGTCCCTGGCACAGAACCTGCTGCCGGGCACAGAATATCAGAAGCAGCTCTTGGCAGCACAGGCACAGCTTCAGGGTAGCACAGCCAAGCTCCAGGCAGAGCTGCTGCACAGCCAGGCTCAGCTGGCAGAGCTGGAGGCCCAGGTGAAGGGCAGATGGGTTGCCGGTGGTGGGGACAGGGCTGTGAGTGGCAGGAGGCTTCCCCAGCAGTGAGGAGGGGCGGTGAGCAGCATGGAGCATAGACAGGAGGGACCCAGCTCCCCCTCTCCTTCCACGCCAGCCTTTCTGCCATCTTCTAGGTGCGGAAGCTGGAGCTGGAGCGGGCCCAGCACAAACTGCTGCTGGAGAGTTTGCAGCAGCAGCACCAGGCAGACCTGGAGCTCATTGAGAGTGCACACAGGTATCCCTGGCTCCTGTCCCTGGCCTGCCTGGGCTTCCCGAGCCTCACATTCTTCCCCAGCTCTGGCTGGGACCTCCATGCTGACCCCAAAGACCACACCAATGTGCTTGGAGAGGCCCTTTAGGTGGCAGCCCTCTGCCTTCCAAGCCCCACGGCTGGGTGTTCTGTTGGCAGAAGCCGTGTCAAGGTGCTAGAAACATCATACCAGCAGCGGGAGGAGCGGCTCCAGAGAGAGAATGAAGAGCTGTCAGCTCGGTATCTGTCACACTGCCAGGAGGCTGAGCAGGCCCGCGCCGAGCTCACAGCCCAGCACCAGCAGCGCTTGGCAGCCATTACACAGGAAAAGGACCGGGAGATGGAGCGGCTCCGGGAGCTGCAGCGGTAAGGGCAAGGCCCGGGGTGGGCCGTGGGGAGCGGGCTTGCATGGATCAGACAGAGGAGAGCAATCCCCAGGAGACCCCAAGCTGTGGCTCAGCATCCTTTGCACAGGGGCTTGGGCCCTTCTCTTACAGCCCACTGAGGTGAGGACCAGGGCTGAGCACTCTGGCCTGCCCAGTTGCCTCCCTGGGGGATGCCACCTGCTCTTACAGAGGCAGGAGTGGTCCCTGCAGGGCATGGCTTGGTGGCAGCAAGCACCCGAAAGCTAACTAAGCATGTATTAACACACTCGCCTGCTAACCCAGTAGGGGCCAGTGACTAGCTCCAGCCTGGGAAGGCTGGCTCTGCTGTGCCTGGTGTGTCGATGTAGTTGCCTTTCTAGGTGAGGACAAAACTAAGTACCTACAGGAGTCAGAGGCTGATGAGTGCAGAGCAAGCCTTTCCAGACTGCTCAGATTGGCCAGACACGAAAGGGCCGTGCACGCAGCTTGCTTCTCCTCTGTGTAGATGAACTTTGCTAAATAACGAAGGAATCACCACCTTAGAGAGTGCATGTCGGGGCTGGCTGGTTAGCTAAGTTGGTTAGAGCACAGTGTTGTAACACCAAGGTCAAGGGTTCGGATCTCCCATACTGGCCAGCCACAAAACAAAACAAAACTTACGGGACATCCATTTGATAGAATGCTATTATTTCACTACATACCTAAGACGTGGAGAGCACGCATAACATTGCGGCACCAAGACAGATAAAGCAGGGGAGCCGGGGAAACTGAGGCAATGCCCAGGGGAGGTGGAGAGGCCCTGGAAGCTGGTGCCACTGGAGGGCACACTCCTGTGAGGGGCCACCACCACATTCGCTGCCGTCCCGGTGGCCCTGCTCCAAGTGGCGGTGCTGAGCCTTCCCCATGCCCGCCACCTGCCCCTCAGGGCATCCATCCTGGAGATGCGCAGGGACCACGAGGAGCAGCTACAGCGGCTGAAGCTGCTGAAGGACCGAGAAATCGACGCGGTCACCAGTGCCACCTCCCACACGCGGTACGTGCACCCGGGCCCATCCACCTGAGGGGCAGGATTGGAGAGCAATCAGCATGGGGTGACCCGGTCCTCCTCCAGGTCCCTGAACGGCATCATCGACCAGATGGAGAAGTTCTCCAGCAGCCTGAACGAGCTGTCCTCCCGCGTGGAGGCCTCGCACCTCTCCACCTCCCAGGAGTGGGAGCTGGGGATCAGGCAGCATGACGAGCAACTGCGAGGTACCCTCCATTCCCATCGCAGCCCCCTGGCCCCCTTGCTGGGAAGGCGGGCGGGCGGTGAGTACCCTGTGGGCTGCCCCCAGCGCTGCAGGAGCGGCTGGGCCGGCAGCAACGGGACATGGAGGAGGAGCGGAGCCGGCTCCAGGAGGTCATCGGGAAGATGGAGGCACGCCTGAGCGAGCAGAGCCGGCTCCTGGAGCAGGTGAGGCCATCAGCACCCGCAGGCAGCGTCAGCACGTCCCTGACCTCAGCCCCTCAGCCAGTCAGTTGTCGAGGCTCAGACTCTGTCCCTCCTGCCCGGCCCGGCCCTCAGTGCTGCCCACCTGGGCACACCGGCCCCACCAGCAGGCTCCCTGCTCCCCGCCCCACAAGCCCCTTGGCCGCCCACCCCAGGGCCACCGTCCCCCAGCAACTGCACTTCCCACTTTCCTTCCTGTCACTCGGATCTGTCACATCAGCTGATGCCTGTGACCTTGGGACAGATGCTCTTGCCCACTAAATGTCATTCTAGCTTCCTCATTTATATGACAGAAACGTTTGAACTCCCTGCATATCTTTCATATATAAGAGCAAGGTTTTTTCTTTAAAAAATAATAAGCTTTTCTTTTGTTTATACTAGAGTATTTTATAATACATTTCATTGGAAAAAAAGTAAAATAAGGGCCGGCCCGTGGCTCACTTGGGAGAGCGTGGTGCTGACAACACCAAGTCAAGGTTTGAGATCCCCTTACCGATCATCTTTAAACAAAAAAACAAAAGAAAGTAAAATACAGGAAACAATAGAGAAGAAAATAAAAATTACCACTAGCTGAAGATAGCCACTGATGACTTCCTGTATCTCCTGTAGACATACCCGTGCAGACATAGGTGCTTTTACATCATGAACTGTATTTATTCATGTCTTCATTTGGTGACTTCATTAAGCACCTGCCTCAGGCTGACACAGTGAAGCTTCTAGCCTCATGCTGTGTGTGCTGGGATCCCCAGCACAGCGTTAAGCCCACGCTGTGCTCCATGCCTGCTTGGCCCATAGGCACCGGGCAGGTGGAGTGCCGAGCTGGCGGTTCAGGGGCAGGGATGTTGCTGACCTTTGGCCTTCCTGAGCCATTAGCCTTGGTGCATTTGTGGACCCGAGGGCCGGGCTGGCACCTGCTGCATTTTCCAGGCAGAATTGCAGAGACTGGGCCCTGGCAGTCCCTCCCAGGCACCTCACTTTGCACCTCTGGAAGGGGGTGTTTGTGGCATAGCATGGGAGATGGGGCGGGTTTGTGCAGCTGCTCAGGGCTTCCAGGCCTGCTCCTGGGGCAGGGAGCACGCTCTCACCCCTGCCCGGCCTGCAGGAACGCTGGCGAGTGACTGCCGAGCAGTCCAAGGCGGAGTCCACGCAGCGCGCTCTGGAGGAGCAACGGAAGGTCATGGCCCAGCAGATGGCCATGGAAAGGGAAGAGCTGGAGAGGGCCAAGGTGAGTCCAGTGCCACGCTCAGCTGCCAACCCTGCCGTCACCAGACACTTATGGCATACCCTCGCCCCACGTCCCAGAGTGCCCTGCTGGAGGAGCAGAAGTCCGTCATGCGCAAGTGTGGGGAGGAGCGGCGGCGCCTGGCAGCCGAGTGGGCCGAGTTCTTCGTGCAGCAGAAGCTGAGTAAGGAGCGGGCCGAGCGCCAGGCGGAGCAGGCGCTGCAGGTGGACGCCCAGCGCGAGGGCACCCTTATCAACCTGGCCAAGGTAGGGACCCAGAGCCCCCAGGACAGCAGAGGGCCGGGTGACCCTAGCCCATCCACCTGCATGCGTCAGCTTCCAGGCTTAGGAGAGAAGAGCGCAGAAGTGACATAACAAGTAGAGGAATTAAAACAACAATAATGTCATCATAACAATTCCTTGTATCGTCCTAGGTGCTTTGTACACTTTTTCTCATTTGGTCCTCATCATATTCTCATGACTTAGATGTTTTAGAAATGGGGAAACTGAGGTTCAGAGAAGTAGAGCCTGCAGTGGTCATACGGCTTGTGAGGACAGCCCTGGGCTTGGCCCTGGGCCTCTGTGGCCCAGCTGGAAGCCCCCTGCCCACCGCCCCTCCCAGAGGCAGCATGGGGCAGAGCTGCAGAAAGGTGGCGGGAGAAGTGAAGGGGGCCCCGGAATCCTGCACAGAGGACAGCTGAGCTCCCGAGAGGAGAGTGCAGCAAAGGCTCTACTGTCTCAGGAGCAGGCCGAGCTGAAGATCAGGGCCACTGAGCTCCGGGCCAAGGAGGAGCAGCTAGCAGCCGAGAGGGAGGCGCTGGAGCGGGAACGGCAGGAGCTGCGGCTGGAGAAGGAGCGGGTCAACGCGGCCGCCCTGCGCATCCGGCTCCGCTCCGAGGAGGTGGACAGCATGAGCAAGGTGCGGCTCTGGGCACCAGGGGTGTGTCCGCATCTGACCCGCCAGCCCTGACCCAGGCAGTCTCCCTGCAGGTGGCCTCGGAGAAGTATGAGGAGGGCGAGTGGGCATTGCGTGAGGCCAGGAAGGTGCAGGCGGAGCAGCAGGCCCGGCTGCAGGTCGTGCAAAAGCAGCAGGAGCGGCTGCAGCAGCAGGAGCAGCACGGGCACCAGGCAAGGCCCCCACCAGGGCTGGCTCCCCCTGCCCCCCAGCCTCCTGCCCTCACAACTGAGTCCTTCTCTCTGGGGATTTGGGGACAGGAGCATCTGAGTCTGGCCCAGCAAAGGCTACAACTGGACCGTGTTCGACAGGACCTGCCCTCCAGCCTCGGGCCACTCCCCAGGACCCAGGGCCCGGCCACCTCCAGTTTGAGTGGTAGGTGTCTCAGCCAGCCCACTGGGCAGGGCAGCACCAGGGACAGGCAGGACCTCCGCCTGCCACTCCAGTTAGGGGGCCAGCTGGGTCTGAGTCGTCCTGTTATTTCTTTTTTTTTTAACACAAGTGATACATGTTAATTCTAGAGAAATAAATCAGAAATAGAAGGGAAAAACTGTTTTAAAAACATCACCCACAACCTCACTCTCTAGAGAAAATTTTTAAAGATGACTGGTAAGGGGATCTTAACCCTTTATTTAGTGGTGTCAGCACCACACTCTCCCAAGTGAGCCACAGGCCGGCCCTATATGTGTTTTTAAAAACAAACTTGGGATTGTGTCATATGTTGTTTTATCTCTCGACTTTTTCATTCAGTAATATACACATGGAGCATGTTTTCATGTCAGTAATGAAACCCTGGATCAGTTCTTAATCAGCATAAGTGTCCAGTATCAGGCTGTTCCCTACTGAGGGATTTGCTGTCGCTAAGACAAACAGCACCTCAGTGGAAACCTTCGCACATACATCTCTGCATCTTTGCCTTATTATTTCCCTTGAATCAATTTTGAGAAATGGACTTGCCAGCTAAGAGCACATGAGCATTTTTCAGAAGCTTTTGGGAGTTGGTGCCCCATGTCCCCAGAGCGCTTGTCCAGGTTCCACCCACTGGCCGCGCCGAGCAGGCCCTGGGGGAGCATGCCATGAGCTGGAGGTGTTCCCACCAACACTTTGGTCCCTGACTTCCTCCTCAGCCTTTTCCGCCCCAGTGGTTCCTGCTCCCACCACCCCTCGTTGCAGCCAGCTGCTGGCCAGCCTCGGCCCAGGCCCCTCACAGCTCTATGCCAGGCTGCTGCTGCTGAAGCACACAGCCGAGCAGGTGAGTGTCTCCTGGCCGTGGGCGTCCCTTTGGTCACCTGGTGACAAGCAGAGAGTCCTTCCAGCACAGGGCAGAATTGAGAAGAACCATACTGTGGCCCTGGGGAGGGGTGGCCCCAGCTCCTGGGGGAGAATAAAACTGCAGATTGCTTGGTGAGCGAATTCTGAGGCCCCTCCTCTAAGGCAGGTTCTGTATGAGGCAATTTGCATATATTCTCTCGGTTTAACCTCACAATAACCTGTAATAATGACAACAGTTGTCACTTACGGAGCATTTCCTGTGTGCCAGGCTCGATGCTGAAGGCTTTGTGTGTATTATAAGCTTTTACCCACACATAGCCCTACAAGGTAGGAAATGTTACCACCTCCAGTTTACAGACAAGGAAACTGAGGCTTAGAGACATGAAGTCAGGTGCTCATAAGCTCCACAGCTAACAAGTGCCTCAGGATGGAGACCAGGATTGGTCTGTCTCACGCCACACCTGGGCTCTTCTGCACCCCCTGCCGCCTCCTAGAGCCAGTCAGAGCCAGGGAGTAAGTGGGAAGGGGGCTCCACAAGTGGGGGCTGGCTCAGCTGGCATCCAGGGGGCCACCTCTCAGTTCACAGAAGCATGACCACTCACCCAAATCTGCCTTGCAGGACCGTGACTTCTTGGAGGATGAACAGTTCTTCCTGCAGTCCCTGAAGAAAGCATCCTACAATACGACGTCCCATTCTGCCTAAGAGGGCCCCAGCTGCCTCCTCCATGGGGGCTCAAACCCCGTCCCACTCTCCCGCCACCCAGCTGGCCTCCAGCTCTACAGGCTGCTGCCGGGCATGGCTGTGCAATGCCAGGGCCCGATCACAGCTCCTCCTGTGCACGGGGTGCAGCCCCTTCTTTCCATCACTGCAGCTGCGCTGGGAGGCAGCGGCCCTGGGGGGTTGTGAGGCTGAGGCCATCTCTCCACAGCTCTGGCTCAGAGAGATGCATCTAAAGAGCCAGCAAGACCCCAACTCCGACTGGGCTCTGCAGACCCCTCCCCTCCACAGGCAGATGGGTGTGGGATCTTTTTCCCTGGGCCTCTTCTGAGGCAGGGGTTTTCTCAAGGGACACCCTGTCCCCAGTGGGGACATAGAGAAGGGCCTGCCAGCTGAGAGAGCAGGAGGCGGCAGGGCAGGGAGGGCACCGTGCAGGCAGCGCTGCCTCGCAGTCTGGCGTCCTGCACCGCGGCCAGCCCTGGCTCCGCAGGCTCACTTGCACCCAGGTGACCAGCTTGCTTGGCATGGACACTGGCTGCTTCGGCAGCTGCTTCCTCCCATCTGGACTCCCTCTGGAGGCAGGTGTAGGGAGGGAAAAGGGCAGAAGGCCTCCGTGCTGTTCACCTGCCCCAGGCCACAGCTGAGTGGGAGTGAAAACGACAGAGGGAGAGCCTCTGCCCTCGGGGGAGTAGGACAGTAGCACCAGGGATCCCCGAGGGCCACCACACACACCCAGGCTGCCGCCACCCTGGCACCTTTGTCATTTGCCCTTTGCCGTGGGGGTGGTGCCAAGGCCGGCCGTGGGCCCCAGAAGGGGACAGGACAGAAGGGCCGGGCAATGTCTTCAGCAGACCCAAGACAACCAACTCAACTAATAAAACCACAATTACTTTAAAGCAGCTTCTGTCAGAGCAATTTCTCACCTCCCATCAGACAGGAAAGCATCCAGGTGAGCAGGAAGGCAGGAGCAAATGCCAGGTGGGACACGTGGGGACCATGTGTATCTCTGCTCTTTCAGGACAACTTTCAGAGGGATCTTATTTATTTACCAGCAATTTTTTACAGCTTTGGTTTTGGACCCATTAAATTGCTATATTCTTTGTTTAAGTACAAGAGATTAATTAAAAGTTGCTATATTCCTTCCAAACAAATTGGATGTGCTTCAGAAAAATTGCTATATTCTTAGTGACTGGATCTTCAGTTTGCCATGGGCTCATCAGAGGTTGAACTTACTTCTTAGGAAACGTTTGCTCTGTATTTCTGTTCTTTGCTGGAAAACAAGTCCCAAACAGCCTGCAGCCTTCCTTATAAAAAGCCGGCCTATAAAACTGACCAGGACCGGCCTCCTCTGCCACGTGCGCCTCCCTCCAACACTGATTATTATCAACCGTACTCTCCCACCCCCAGGCTGGCCGGTTTGGGGATCCGAACCCCCCACCTCGGTGTTATAACCCTGCGCTCTAACCAACTGAGCTAAGCAACCAGCCCTTGTCCTATTTCAAAGATGGAGAAACAGGCTCAGGGAGATTAAATAACTTGCCCAAAGTGACAGTGAACGGCAGAGTCTGGGTTGAGTGCTGCTCGGGCAGATTCCAAAGCTCCAGGCTCCCAGCCACGTCACTCTCCTGCCACCTCCTGGAGGAGCACGCTAGACACTAGACATGTGTGGTGCTGCTGGGGAGGAGAAGGTCTTCTAAAGCTGCCATTTGAGTGGTTCCGACACTGAGGAGGGAAGCACCATGTGCCCCGTGGGAATCCCTGTCGAAGACTAGAATTTGGTCCTTCAGTCCACACACTTAAGCAGACCTATGGAAAGAGGTGGGAGTCTGAGGATGGGCATGTCTGCCTGGGGGCAGCTGGCATTTAAGCAGCCACCTGAAGGATATGAGGGTAACAGCACATGGGGGTGGGGGCAAGTGCAGGGAGACCCCCGAGGACAGCCTGGCCTTCGAGACAGAGTAGTGAGTTTAGGATTAGGGAGCAGGTTAGGGCCGGCCCGTGGCTCACTTGGGAGAGTGCGGTGCTGATGACACCAAGGCCCCGGGTTCGGATCCTATATAGAGATGGCTGGTTTGCTCACTGGGTGAGCGTGGTGCTGACAACACCAAGTCAAGGGTTAAGATCCCCTTACCGGTCATCTTTTAGAAAAAAAAAAAAAAAATAGAAGACCATATAGGGATGGCTGGTTGCTCACTGGGTGAGCGAGGAGCTGACAACACCAAGTTAAGGATTAAGATCCCCTTACCGGTCATCTTTATATAGGGATTAAAAAAAAAAAAAAAGAATTAGGGAGCAGGTTGAGTTGCTTTGTATATCTTGCTAAAGAGTTTCTACTTTTATCTTCAGGGCAATGGGTATTCAGTAAAGGGTTTTAAGCAGAGTCGGACCATATTTGCATTTTTGAAAACGCGTTGTGGCTGCGGGGTGGAGACCAGACAGGACGGGGCAAGAGTGGGGACAGAGAAAGTGTCAGGAAGCTGCTTGCGGTGGTGAAGGGGAGGCACAGAGCGGGGACTGAACCAGGCATAGCAGTGAGGGGTGGCAGAAAAGTGCCCCCCCCGGGACCTGGCGCCTGTACCGGGAGGGTCAGAAAGGAGGATGGGTTGAAGAGGACTCCCAGGTTCCTGGCTTCGGTGACAAATTAGTGTACAGAGCCCACGAATTAGCCAAGCAGAGACACTCCACAGACACTCATGTTAGAGTGAGCAGGACTGAAGCCATGTTGGGACCTAAAACCACATGGATTCTAAAAGATTTTAAAAGGACACAGTTTTTTCTTGGCATGCATTTCTCTGAGTTCCCTTTTTTCCCATAGTTATTTGATATTTTGAACCTCGGTTACAAGGCGAGATGACATTATTTACATACAAGCTGCAAACTTGCCAGGAGGCACGTACTATCCAGACCCTGAGAAACCAAGGAAGACATTAATAAAGCTGTGCGGACTCCACCCCTCCTGCAGGACCCTGAGATTATATCATCAAGGACGGCAGCAGAAACCAGACGGAGCCGTGGCAAGACCTTGCACCTGGCTCCTTGCACAGAGCCCCCAGCTCACATCCGCCTCCCTCCTGCCTTTCACTTCCCACGTCCCATTCCCTTAGTCCCCTCTTTAAAAACCCCTCAGTAAATGTGCACCTTGGAGCTGGCTTTAGTCTGTCCATCCTCCTTCAGGTTTATCAGAGAGATGGGTCAGCCCAACATCTCTTCTCAGGTCACTGCTGTTCATGAATTAAAGCAGACTTGCATTTTCACCAACATTTGGCTTTTAAGTTGTTTTTGTTAGGGGGCAGGCTGCTGGACTTGGGCCCAGTATCATTTGGTTATGACACTTTACTCAGTGCCTGTAACTGCTCTGTGTTATTGTCACCCACACTTAGGTGTGGCAGGTAGCCTAATTATCCCCTTACATTATTAATTTTCTCCCAGGCCACAGACGTTGCAGAGGGCTGCACACAGGAGTGTTGTGTGTTGTGCTGCTTTCCTTTCTCCTGCAAAATTGTAAACAGCTCCTTGAGGCCATAACCCAAATGCTTAATTCAGTTCCTTTTACAGAGTAAAACATTGGAGAGTAACAATCATTAAAAAAAAATAAAATAGGGCCGGCCCGGTGGCGCACTGCTATAGTGCACCGCTTGGGAGTGCGGCGACCCTCCCGCCGAGGGTTCGGATCCCACATACAGACCGGTTCCCGCTCACTGGCTGAGCGAGGTGCGGGCGCGACACCGAGGGTTGCGATCCCGTTGCCGGACACGAAAAAAGACAAAAAGGAAAAAAAAATAAAAATAAAAATAAAATAAAATAAAATAAATTGGTGGTGCCATGCCTTTGTTTCAAGAGTTATGTTTATTATTTGCTTCAACTTGGTATATGTGGGAATGCATGCTAGGCCTTCCAAACAGTTAAATTCCAAGCCAGCCCACTCTTAGGGGGTTCTAGGACAGAGAGAAACAAGAATGGAGGAATAGGAGCCAGCGGGTTAGCCAGCAAGCTTCCGTGCTTCTGACTGCAGAGGACCCGTGCATCTTCATCTGTAGAAGGGCAGGGCTGGGAGGGTTGTGGGCTAGGCTGGGGCAGGTGTAGAGGTATGCAGAAAAGGATTCAGAAACAGAAGGAAAAGATAACAGCAAAGGAGGCCATGACGTAAAGCCACAATCTAGTCCTGCCTTCACTTCTACCGCTGTACGTTCAGCAGGAATTTCACAATAATTTCACAACAACTCCTTAAGGGCAGGACTGGGTGTTACTGGCCTGTGTATCCCCCTCAACATTTACCATGTAGTAGGTGTGCACTGTTGGTTCCCGAATTAGAAGTGATGGTGAGAAGTTTTGCTGTTTATGAAAACCAATTCAAGGTGTAGCCACTTCCTGCTGGATGGAGAGACCCTCTCACTCCATTTCAGTATGTGTGAGGGTCTAGCTTCCGCTGGTGACAGAGCAACTAACCTCGTCACCAGCCCTGGCTTGAGATGTCAGGGAAGGCTTCCCAGTGGGGACCACTCTACCAAGGCTAGGAGGTTGCCAGGCCACAGGGGTAAAATGAGGAGGTGGAAGGCAGAGGCGACAGCATGTGCAAAGGCCCTGTGGCCTGAAGAGCAACGTGTGCCGAGGAAGTGAAGGTGTGATGTGATGGAAGCTTGCAGTTCCAGGGCAGAGGGGCCAGGGCTGGGGCAGAAGAGGGTCCAGACCACCAGGGCTACCAAATTTTACCCTGTTAAAACTGCATCCCAAGGGGCCGGCCTGGTGGCGCACTGCTACAGTGCGCCGCTTGGGAGCGTGGCGGCGCTCCTGCGGAGGGTTCGGATCCCACATACAGACCGGTGCAGGCGCAGCGCCGAGGTTTGCGGTCCCGTTGCCGGTCCCGGTCCGGTGCGGGCGCGACACTGGGGGTTGCGAGCCATTGCCGGACATGAAGAAAGACGAAAAAAAAAAAAAAAAAACTGCATCCCAAGAGCAATGCAGAGCCCTGGCAGAGACAGGATCCCATGTGTCTCAACCAGGTCACTTACACATTTGTGTGGGTAACAGTAAACCAGAGCTGATCAAGACCTAACACACACACCATTTTCTACATGTTAACTCATGTCACCCTTCTAACAACCTCATGAGGTAAGCACTATTACTACCTGCTTTCTTCCCAAATGAGGAAACCACAAAGGCGATGCGAAAGTCACAATCTGGAATTTAAACCCAATTCGTGTGATCCCAGAATTTACGCCCGTCCCCCTTCCACCGCCCGTGCCCGCGCCGCGGCGCCCCCTGCTGGCCGGCGGCGGTCAGGACCCCGGACCTCTCCCAGCCGCGCCGTCCGCCGGGCACTTCCGGAGCCGGGGC